CACGCCACTCATACCTGCGTAATTCCGGTAAAGCAGTATACGGAGGCCTTGGTCGTCTGGTGAAATGTACGGCCTCCGCTGAATGGCCGGTGATGTTTACATGTTCCTCAGATTTGTTTAAGACATCCCACTTCTAGAGGGCAACAATACGAGCCACAGATAGGACTTTGCGCTTCCCCGAGTGGAAAGTACCTTCTTTCACAATTTAAAAAGATAAATCCCCTGGCCACGTAACACTGGAGTTCAATCTGGGTGGTGTGACTCTTTTAGCTAAAGATTTATTGAGGAGAAGATCCGCTAGAGCAGTAATGGGCTAAATGGTTTTATGTGTGATAAGGCTAATCTGTCGACTAACTAACTGTCAAATGAGAAGAATAAATCATGTTGCCACATTACATTTTCAACCTTTATTTTTGTTCCGGGACACGCAGGCGTCGATGGAAATGAAAGAGCTGACAGGTTGGCTGGATCCGCTATCACTACCGACGGTCGGCCTATGGATCATGCTGATATTATCAATGCCCTCAGAGAAATGGGAAGGATAGAGGACTTTGGTGGCAGTGAATCCACATCACTCGCCAGAATGGCAGACTTGGGAATTAAGATCGGCACAGCAAAAAACGAGACGCACACCAGACACGCCAGAGGACTTGTTAATCAACATAGAACTGGTACTATTAGCCATCAGACGTTGGGGTTCATACTGAGGGGAGGATCTGAGCACCTATGGACATGTCCGGAGTGCAATGACGATAACCCAACTAACTAACTAACTAACTAACTAACTAACTAACTAACTACATTTTCATCCAATCTGGGGTGGATGTGCCGTCGATAATTGAATGCGATACGAGAAGTGAGACGTTTGCAAGAACCTAATGATGACTAATCTGCAACCCTGACGAGGCTGCAAGAACAGCATGTTAAAAGGGATGTGGCTAGACGAGAGCGCTGTGCAGAAAGCCGGGGGAGAATAAAAAAACAACACAGGACTAGTGTCATTAGATGCTATACGCGGTGGGATTTTACTGAGAGGGTATCAAAACACTTATAGATTGACTGGTTGGTGTGCAGTGAGGATAATCTGTCGACTAACTAACAAATGAGAAGATTAAACCCTCTGGCCACTTGTTACTGTAGTCCAATCTGAATGGTGTGACACTTTTAGCTGCTTTTATCCATGTAGCCATGAAATTGTTTCTTTGCTTCAGTTATGTTACTTGCGAATTTAGAAAGAATAAATTAACAGTCATAACAAATATATCTGCCAGCGGCTGTCTTATACGCCAGGTTGAGAACTGTTCTGTTACAAACAGGTTTCTTTCACATGTATGTGCGACTCTATTAAGTTTTTAGAACTGCACTATTGGTATGTAACTCTTGCCCTAGATACTCTGTGTGTGTAATGCGTGGGCTATGGCTGCCATATGTTTCACATGTCAATTAATTGTTACAGTTTAAAAAGCTGCCGACAGGCGGAAATCTGTAAAAAGTGAAGGAATAATTCCAACTTGAAAAAAGGGAAAAACATACTTATTTAGGATTTGCTGGAAAGGGGGGGGGGGAGAGGCTGATCACCAAACATAGTAACCAGGGGGTGTGACAAAATTGGAGATTGTAGAGTGGATTAGGGCAACAAAACCAGGAGGTCACTACTGAGATAGCAAGTGTATTGTACTTATTTAAATAGTTGTCTACACAATCAGGGGTGGCTGCAAAAGATCTTCAACACTTTTGTAGTCACTGGCCGTGGTTGTACACTCAGACACTACAACTCTGTGATCTTCTTCTTCTTTTTCTTCTTGATAGCATTCCCGGGCTGTAAATTCCGACGGAAAGTTCTGAACTGTTCGTATATCTGGACTTTGGCCTTGTTCCAAAATTTGAATTCTTACTTGTGTGCAGAGTTTTTGTTTGTGTGCTTCCCAGGCAGATGCACTCCGACTTCGAATGAAACATCCTCGACTAGCATATTAGGGGATCGTGCATCATTTCTCCTGCCTGCCTCTGACCTGGGCCCCGGAACCCACACGGAAATGTCTGTCACTGAAAGCTCTGTCTAACATCGTAAGTCTTTATTACTTGAGATGCTTTCCAATTTTCTGAAATGCATCCTATTGTTTTGCCGTTTCTGCTTGTAATGGCTAATGTCTGCAGTTATAGATACTAGCGTTTCAGATCGGTGGTACCCACAGATTGTGTTGTTTACAATTCATCATTCTGACAAGTTTTCTTAGGCTGAATTAGGCGGGTGGAAAGAAGAAAAAGGGGTGAGGGGGGTTCCGAGTGACATAAGCCTTAATTACATGTGTAATACTATGTATATATAGGCCTATATGTATGTGTGTAACACTATGTATGTATGTATATATATATATATATGTGTGTGTGTGTGTGTGTGTGTGTGTGTGTGTGTGTGTGTGTGTGCGCGTGCGTGTGTGTATAATGTGCTAAAAACAAATAAATATAATGTAAAAAAAAAAAGAAATGTATAATAAACAAAAACAGATTTACCACACACACACACAAACACACACAGAGAAAACTTTATACACTGTATTTCAATACATTAAAGGTCTTACTCTTGCCATGAAAGCCTTTCTTCTGTGGTTGTTGACGCAGAGAGAAAGTTTTGCAAGTGTCATTCTCCTAAAATTACTTCTTCTTCTTCTTTAGCATTCCGAGCCCTTGAGGTTCATTGCTGCAGAAATTACCCGCTTCTATTCATCTCTCTGGTTGGCTTTCTCTTTCCTGTTGGTGACACCAAGTGTTTGCAGGTCTGTCTAGACATTATCTCTCCATTTTCTTCTTGGTCTGCCTCGTAGTTTACTACCATTCATCTCCCACGTGTCTCTTTAGGTTACAGATTCCCCTTATTCCCTGCACATGTGTAATCTGTAATCAACATTTGATATTGCTATCTCTCAATCTCACATGTTTCTTATCTGTTTTTCTAACAGAGAAACTATTCACATAAGACGGTTTAGAATTGATCATCAGAGGTCAATCACTATCTAAAAATAGACGAACTATTCAAATGCAGTTCACGAAAATAAGTCGTAGATATAAATTCCCCTAAAAGGATTTACGCTGAAAACTGATAACAAGGAACACAGTGATCTTCACATTGTATCCTGGGGACAAGGAGCCTCTTTCCAGTCAATGACTGTGATGGTTTTAATACACTGAAGTATTATAAGCGTGCGTATTTTGTTAAAAACTATCCGTTCTGTTTTAGACACAATAATAATAAGGAAAAAGTAATGATAACATCAAAGAATAAACAATGCCATTTACAACCAATCGTTTTAATTTGCGACACGAATTACAGTTTAAGTATTTAAGCATAACAGTAATATTAGATACAAGAACAACAAAACATAAATTAAGAATATATCAAGACAAACAAAAACTCATTTTATAAAAGTGAAGAACAAATCATTGTCGATGGATGTCAGGAATAGAATACCTGAACGTTTGAAAGAATCGTTTTCAGCCTTTGGCTGTGGGTTCTGAACAATAAGTGAACACGCAAAGAGAAAAGCCTAATGTTGCATGTGACTATTGGAAAAAGCTTGAAATAACTAAAGCATAAAAGACAACTTATCACAAGTATCAGAAAGACAGCCATTCTGTTTGGCTATATCAACTGAGTTAGTGACGCTAACACCCCCCCCCCCCCAAAGGACTGTACACAGAGCGATTAACACGCGGTGACATAATATGTCGACTATTCGGGTGAGAATCCCCGGGCGCAAGTCATAGAAACCCCGTTGAAGAGTAAAGTTATACTAGGGCCCCCGACTACGGTTACGGAGTAAATCGAAAACAAGTCCGGGTGGAGCTTAAATCATAAAAATTGGTCCCCTGTCGGGACAGCAGTTTAATGGTCTTTATAGAAACTGAAAGGCCGGCATACGAGACAACTATTGTGCCATTATATGTCACATAAGGCTCACAGTCTAGTTCTCCATTCCGTTCTATCATGTACAATGTGTTCTTCTTCTGCGTTCATCCGAAGATGTAATTGCGTTGTGTCCGTTTACAGCATGGCTGCGATATTTGCATCTTTCGGCCAACACATCTTACTTCTGCGGGCAATTGTTGACCGGGTTAGCCTTCCCGATCAATGAGTTCATCATGGATGAAATCCAGTCCAGCAGCTTTGGCCTCTCCCATTAACGTTCGTTTTAGGGTCTCCTTTGTGCGTCCTCACCCCCTTAATCCCCTTTAGTGCCTGTTTTGTGATTTTCTACTGATTTCTTCTCGGGAGGTGTCAAGTGTAACGCCATCTTTTCTGTCTTATAACTATCGATACTTCAGACATTTACCTTATTTCTTCATATATTGATTTAGACATGACAGATACAAGAAAAGATATAGAGAAGATTTATGACAATTCAAGAGATGGCAGGCAATGGAGATATGATGTTTAGAAAATCTCTGAAGCCATCAAGGTAAGTGGACAAATAAAATCAAACCAAAAATGGTCTTACAGAAACTCTAAACAACAAAACGAGACTAAAGACATAACAATGACAGGTAACGGCTCATACAAGGGCCCATACCCGTAGTGATTTCTTCCTTATTTGGCATTTGGTCCCTGGCCCAATCAAATATCCGGTTACAAATTGTCTGTCCATTTATGGCTGCGATATAAATAGAACTTACGCACACATCTCCCAGCGTCAGTTTCGAAAACGCTATAAAACCTAAACTGATTTATCTTTGATGTAATACAATAATTTCTAGTGAGAATCAATACAATAAACGTTTATGTTGAGGAGATCGAGGACAAAGTGAGACACGGACAGACCAGGACAGAGATTTGGCTGTAGACAAAGTGTAGTCGCCAGGCGGCGCTGTGTGTGATCTAGCGGTGAGACCTTGCAAGGAAGTCGACCCGCCCGCCCCCAGACCGGCTCTAGATCTCTCTTTAGTCTGCTGCTGCCCGCTCGCCGCCATCATCGCCATTGTTCGCCTTCTTCTAGCCCACAGACATGACTTCGGGAGTTAAGGTTGGCGACTGCTGTAAGGCCAAATTCCTGCAGCTTTCCTTGACAACACAGAAGCAACAGAAAATAGTTTTTTTTGTGATGAAGTTTTCTGATGACATGAAGAAGATTATAGTGGAAAGATTCGGAACACTTGAAGACTGCGGTAGTTACGACAATCTGATCACCAGTCTTCCCATAGATGATGTCAGATACGTTTGCTTTGATTTTGAGTATATAAACAAGGACAACTGCAGAAAGTCTGACATTCTTTTGATTTCATGGTGAGTAGAAGCGTCGTTTATGGTTTGTATAATCATTTCATTCTTTCATGAGTTGATGTTTCCAACACCATCCCATGAAAACGATCCGGAAATGGAATGTAGGTTAGTCATAAGCTGTTGACTCTAGCAAGCAGGATTGCCCATATTCTTAGTTAATTTCTTGATCAAGCTGTTTTTTAATCGAAGTAAGTCAGTCCGTTCTCTTTCTTTAAACTACTGTATTTTTCAGTGAACCTGTATAATAATAAACGTGTAATCAGCAGCGCTAAAATTGTGAAGTCACAATCAAGGACAACCAGTAAGAAAGCCATGATGATGATGGGGGAGGATCCAGGCTCCATCAGTTGTTATAGCTAGTTTTCTTAACTCTAATTGCTACCAGCGAGATTACTGTATTATACAAGTAAACGATGTGCTCATGTTTCAACACCTGGTTCCAGTCATACTTAGGATAATTATCTCATATATTTTTATTCAGTTAACTCTTGTAATTTGAGTCACATGAGTGAGCATTCCTCCATTTTGAACATGAGGTGGAAAACAGTTTGACATTTTTATAGATCATACTTAGGTCAATAAGAATGAAAGAGCTGATGGGTTGGCTGGATCCCAACGTTCAACCTATGGATCACGCTGACTGATATTATATATTGTTATTAATGAATTGTCCCCAGAAAAATGGTAAGGATCAAGGGCTCTCCTTTAAATAACGGTCGCTAGCTGGAAGGCGACGGTCGCTTAGTCGGAGTTCACTCCCTTGGCTGCAGTGCAGATACGGAGTGGTAAAGAGGGAACGAAACAAATGATATAGTTACCTATCATCCTAGGGTTAGGCTTTGGGGTAGGGTTAGGGTTTGGGATAGGGAAGCTGGAAGGCAACGATCACTTTAGTCGGAGTTCACTCCCTTGGCTGCAGTGCAAATACGGAGTGGTAAAGAGGGAACGAAACAAATGATATAGTTACCTGTCATGTTAGGGTTAGGCTTTGGGTTATGATTTGGGTTAGGGTTAGGGTGACACATCATGGACACGACGGAAGCTTATCACTCATTAATTGATACGCAACTAACTAATGTTGGGAAAGACATGATCACACTCATGCCCACACACAGCCTGAGAGGTCACGCTCATGCCCACACACAGCCTGAGAGGTCACACTCATGCCCACACACAGCCTGAGAGATCACACTCATGCCCACACACAGCCTGAGAGGTCACACACGACAGTTATTACAAAATGTTGAGAATTGCAACCTTTCTTTAATGAATGCCCAGAAAGCAGACTGTTGTTTGAAACTTGCATGTGCCATTACCATTCTTGAAGGGTCAGCAGCTTGATTGTGAAAAGCTTGCAGAATCACTTTGACAGCATTAATATTCTCTGATACCGAGAGGCAACGCAAGGATAAACAGCCAGATAATTGAGCCGAAAAAATTGTGCTGAAATATATTGCTTAAATTGAAGGTTGAACAAGCTGACAGAATTGTTGGCTGTTCATTGATATCTAAATTATAAAGAGATTGAGATGTCTGGAGTGTGCCATGGGAAAAATTTAGAGTAATGTCTAGGCATGCCACAGGTATTTTACCATAACCCAGTTAGAAATGGAATAAACCTTTATTATATTAGCTTTGGAGACCTGAGTTTCTCTGTACCAGAGCTTGTGGGTTTCTCTTTACCAGTGCTTGTTGGTGAAGACGTCTCAGTAAATGTATCAACATAAAAGTTTGAACTATAAACATGCATTGATTTTGTTTCTCTCCACAGGCACCCCGATGGTTCTTCAGTAAGAAAGAAGATGATCTGTGCATCATCCTTCAGCGCTCTCAAGTCATCACTTGGTATTAGCAGGAACGTCTTAGAGGGTGACTGTTACTCCGAGGTAGATAGCAAAGCAGCTTTAGAGAAGGTTGGTGGGAAGGCATTGCCATGAGGTGTTCAGGTGAGTCAACTGTCTGTGTGCAGAGTTTGATCTTGTCATGTATTAGCCTTCACAGTGTCAAACAGGCTTATCTATGTCATGGTTTTGCAGGTGACTGAAGGCTTGCCAGTTCCAAGAACGTTTGGTTTAAGATCGTATTTGGGCAAGTTTGTGAATCACCAGCGGCTGCCAGATAGGCCCGGCCTAAAACGGGTACCAAATAATATCCTGCAAAGTACTGTGTCTGGCGTGATGTTGACACACACCCTGTGTCTGGCATGATGTTGACACACACCCTGTCTGGCATGATGTTGACACACATCCTGTGTCTGGCATGATGTTGACACACATCCTGTGTCTGGCATGATGTTGACACACATCCTGTGTCTGGCATGATGTTGACACACACCCTGTGTCTGGCATGATGTTGACACACATCCTGTGTCTGGCATGATGTTGACACACATCCTGTGTCCGGCGTGATGTTGACACACATCCTGTGTCTGGCATGATGTTGACACACATCCTGTGTCTGGCATGATGTTGACACACACCCTGTCTGGCATGATGTTGACACACCCTGTGTCTGGCGTGATGTTGACACACACCCTGTGTCTGGCATGATGTTGACACACCCTGTGTCTGGCATGATGTTGACACACATCTTGTGCTGATTGATGTATAAAAATATAAGCAATACACTGGGTGCCAGATTGACACGAGAAAGGTTCTGGACTTGAGCATCTGCAGATAGCCTGCTTCTCTCTCTCTCTTCTTCTGCCTCATAATCTGTGGTGCTGGGTTTTGTCTGTCTCTGAGGTCACAACATCCTGTCTAATTTTGTTTTACCTGAAAGACTTCATTTTTGTCCAGATATTCCTTGTGTGTGCTATTTATTTTCCACCAATATGCTGGTCACTGTCATTAGGGCGCACCTGTACTGATTGGAGGGGGGGGGGGGAAGACAGCACCAGATCGTCTCCTGACTGGCTGTTCTAGGAATATGGATTAGATTAGGTAGAGTGTTGGCCGGTTACCTTCATTGGCATTCACATCTATCAAAGGACTGGAACTAGGGAAAGAGGATGCCCGAAAAGCAGATGGATCGACACATTAAACACACATTACAATCGAATGGAAATGACACCAGCAATTCTGCACCAGCAGCTTCCCCCCTGCAGTGTTTCATGATAAAAGTAGATGATGATGAATGCTTAAACCCTGTCACCCCTTCCCTTACCAATCTGAAAACACGACCATTTCCAAATTTAGTTCAGCAAAACACATCCCCTTATAATTCCCTTACGCTGCAATAAGGGGGGGGGGGGGGGGGAGAAGCAATACTCCTTGTCAGTTTTTATAAGAGAAGCAATACTCCTTGTCAGTTTTTATAAGAGAAGCAATACTCCTTGTCAGTTTTTATAAGAGAAGCAATACTCCTTGTCAGTTTTTATAAGAGAAGCAATACTCCTTGTCAGTGTTTATAAGAGAAGCAATACTCCTTGTCAGTTTTTATAAGAGAAGCAATACTCCTTGTCAGTTTTTATAAGAGAAGCAATACTCCTTGTCAGTTTTTATAAGAGAAGCAATACTCCTTGTCAGTGTTTATAAAAGTCCCGGTGATCAGTACCTAGACCACTAAGCAGACAGAACATGAGCGCCACTGCTTTATCATGACCATTAAATAGCTTACAGTAATGATTATTTACAAAATTATCTTTTTTCAATTATTATAATTCACAAATACCAGAAAATGAATTTGTTTACGTGGAGGGAAGTATTCACTAAATACGAAAGGAGCAAATAATTGACCTTCTTTTTCCCTTTGACCACGATTTTGAACATGGTTTTGATGATTTAACCACGTCCACGATTATTTTGAAAGCAGTTTTAAAATATGTGATACCTATATGTGTCTGCAAATTTGTAGCTAGTACCACAGCTGGTATATAGGTGTAGTGGTCACTGCCCACAGACTTCATGTTATATAGGGGTAGTGGTTACTGCCCACAGACTTCATGTTATATAGGGGTAGTGGTCACTGCCCACAGACTTCATGTTATATAGGGGTAGTGGTTACTGCCCACAGACTTCATGTTATATAGGGGTAGTGGTCACTGCCCACAGACTTCATGTTCTATAGGGGTAGTGGTCACTGCCCACAGACTTCATGTTCTATAGGGGTAGTGGTCACTGCCCACAGACTTCAAAAACCTGTAAATGCAAGAAAGATAGCTTCATTTGAAGTAACGGGTTATATTTAAGATGATATTGAAACCTGTGGCAATTACGAGTGAACACATGTACTTTTACAAAGCTTATGTATTTGGTCACTGCCCACAGGTTTCATGTTATATAGGGGTAGTGGTCACTGCCCACAGACTTCATGTTATATAGGGGTAGTGGTCACTGCCCACAGACTTCATGTTATATAGGGGTAGTGGTCACTGCCCACAGACTTCATGTTATATAGGGGTAGTGGTTACTGCCCACAGACTTCATGTTATATAGGGGTAGTGGTCACTGCCCACAGACTTCATGTTCTATAGGGGTAGTGGTCACTGCCCACAGACTTCATGTTCTATAGGGGTAGTGGTCACTGCCCACAGACTTCAAAAACCTGTAAATGCAAGAAAGATAGCTTCATTTGAAGTAACGGGTTATATTTAAGATGATATTGAAACCTGTGGCAATTACGAGTGAACACATGTACTTTTACAAAGCTTATGTATTTGGTCACTGCCCACAGGTTTCATGTTATATAGGGGTAGTGGTCACTGCCCACAGACTTCATGTTATATAGGGGTAGTGGTCACTGCCCACAGACTTCATGTTATATAGGGGTAGTGGTGACTGCCCACAGACTTCATGTTATATAGGGGTAGTGGTTACTGCCCACAGACTTCATGTTATATAGGGGTAGTGGTCACTGCCCACAGACTTCATGTTCTATAGGGGTAGTGGTCACTGCCCACAGACTTCATGTTATATAGGGGTAGTGGTCACTGCCCACAGGCTTCATGTTATACAGGGGTAGTGGTCACTGCCCACAGACTTCATGTTATACAGGGGTAGTGGTCACTGCCCACAGACTTCATGTTATATAGGGGTAGTGGTCACTGCCCACAGACTTCATGTTATATAGGGGTAGTGGTCACTGACCACAGACTTCATGTTATATAGGGGTAGTGGTCACTGCCCACAGACTTCATGTTATATAGGGGTAGTGGTAACTGCCCACAGACTTCAAAAACCTGTAAATGCAAGAAAGATAGCTTCATTTGAAGTAACAGGGGTTATATTTAAGATGATATTGAAACCTGTGGCAATTACGAGTGAACACATGTACTTTTACAAAGCTTATGTATTTGTATTAGATTGGGCTTGATTACAAAGCTCCATAACACCATAGAACGATTACTTAACTGGTGGCCATGGGCCGAATGCCGCCCCCTAGGCATAGCAAGTGGCCCACCGATCATTGCCAGTTGTATTGGTTTAATGATCTTTCTGTGCAGGGGTTTGAGCTTCTGGCCCATGAACATCCCTATTTTCAACATGTTGGGGCTCCTGCTGGGTAAGCTTGAGTTGATAGCCCTACCAAAGAACAAATGTTGTGTACTTTTACTTGATGGGTAACATGTCTTGTGTAATTTCAGGTTGGCCAGCTCTGTATGGAAAGTCAGACATCAGAAATCAAGGACTTGATTGGAGGAGCATTTGTGTTGAAGCTCTAGAGGCTTCATAAGTCTTGTTTTTTTTTTTTTTTTTTTTTAATTCTGTTGTTTTTTTCTGTTGTCCTTGGTGTTTAGGAATCCAAATGTTGTTTCATTGAAGGCACTTTGCTAGTTTAATAGGAAAACACTAATTAGATATGAGAATCCTCTGTACCGAGATAGATGACCTAGTTGATTTCTACACAAGATTGTGCATATACATTTGTGTCCTGTAAAGCACGTGTGGACATTGCTGATAATCGCCTGCAATAGAGATTGTTTTGTACACAATTTTTCCTTGTTAGACTTCTATATAATTTTCTGTCACCATTTGCAGCCTGTTCTGTTTAGTTAATTCAAGTGACTAAGAATGTTCCTCCATATCACTTCATCCTTTACACAGGATATGCATTTTATTTTAAGTTTCCATAGCTTTTTAAGTTTTATTGTTGTTGCATGTCAACGTAGGTGGAGATTTTGTTTTCCAATTGTTGTCATTAAATGCAGTCATGCTAATTGTAACAACACAGTATGTTATGAGGTGGTCCAGTTGTTAGAACTCTTCCCTAGTTTTCACACAATATTCACATGATGGTCGCAGCACATCAGTTCAAGTGTGCTGATGCGAATATAACCAAATATCAATAGATACAACCAGTTATTGGTGAATACAGCCACATTGATATTTAACCTCAGTTTGTTTGTCAGTCTTCAGTCGTGTTATTTTTGTTTATTTCTCTTGTACTTGCATGGGGCAACAGTGTTTTTTTGCCCTAAAAATGCAACTGAAAACTACTGCTCAATTGTGCATGTTCTTTTTCTCTTGTTCTCTAAAAAAATATGATAGTTAACATGCTGTTTACAAATGAAACTTGTTAAAACTTTGAACAACATGTAAAAAAAATGCTTAATTTTTAGTGTTTTGTAATTTGTAACAAAAGTAGTGTTGATATCAGATTCATCATAAGCTTCTTGTATGCTTTGTCTGCATGTATTCATACAGCTACTTGATGACATGGCGGTGTGTTAGATGTAGAGGTGTTTCAGTAATCAAAGACACGTTGACGGTCAGTTTATTTTGGAACATGAACTATAAACATCCACCCGACCCTCCTACCCAAGCTTGTCTTGTGTCAGCTGTGCTTGGTTTGAGAACTGTGATCAGACATGACTGGCACGCATAACTTCCTAGATATAACTTCACTTCACAATTTGTCTACTTTATGTACTGGCAGATATAACTTGAGACAAGTTTTGCAAGTTTAGACATACATGGTTTAAAATCAGAGCTGGCCC